GGGGGGGTAGGATCATTTCTTATATCATATTAAAGAATATAGCAATTCCGCATTTTAATCATTCTATTTATGAGTAAACATTACAGTGTGTGGATTCGGTATTTCAGCCAATGAATAGGCAACCATATCCGTTTCTCAATTTAATCAATGCAATCAATGCAGTTCCCCTTCCTAGATGATTTGAGTCATCACTGCAAGATAAGAGGCAGTCGTTTTATAAGAGAGCCAACAAGCCCATGTTTTGGAGAGGCGGTCCTTTTGGTCTAATCCGGTCATGCTATAAGTCTGTTCCACCCTATCTAGCCATTCCAATAAGGAGGGAGCAGAGCTATTTTTCCATTTGGCTGGTATTAAAGCTTTAGCAGCATTAAGTAAATGTGGTGTAATAGAACGGGTATAGCTGCCCACTGAGCCTTCAGAGCCATGCAACAGCATTACCCAAGGGTCAAGTGGCACTGAGGTTCCCTGAATTCTGGACATTTCCGAGGGGACCTCCTGCCAATAGGGTCTTATTTTTGGACACTGCCACCATATGTGTGCATGTGAGGCGACCTCTCCGCATTCCCGCCAACACAGAGGAGACACCGAAGGGTCGATCTGGTGCATTCTCTGTGGTGTGTAACTTGTAGTGGAGTTCCTGGATGTGTGAGGATCTGGACACCCCCCTGGAGAGAGCCAATATGCGGGATCTACGTGAGTCAGTCAACGGACTGTCCAACTCCCTCTCCCAGTGCGTCAAATAAGGCGGGGGGCATGTGGCATCCATGCACGATAATGCTGCGTAAAGGGGAGGATATACATTTATCTGGTACGGAACCTGTAGGAAAAAGCAGTTCCAACGGGTTTAGGTCCTCTGTGGACCTCAGGGGACCAGAGAGTTGTCATTCAGGGAGGACAGGGGCTTAAGCTTCCCATCCTGTAAGACCTGATTAAGCAACAGATCCGCACCATATTGGGTCCAAGAGCGATCGCTACCGTCCAATAGTCCTGGTGAAAAATATGTGTGGCCCAGTAAAATGCATTAGTGGGGAATTGTAGGGCCAATGTTGACTGGAGTGCACAGCGTCCCAGATAGAAAGTGTAGTGGTCGTTAAGAGATGGGCATCCCTGGACAGCTGTCTATATCGTTTCGGAATCCAGCAGACCCTATGTAGAGCTGTTTGACTCAGGTCTCTCTGGCATAATGCCAATCAATGAGTCCGGCAAAAGAGGCCGCTCTATAATACCTTCTATGCTACCTGGCACTTCTGTTTAATAACTTTAAGGGTGCAAAAATAATAATTTGATGATCTTGCCTTCAGTCTTAACGATTGCTAAGAAGTAGCTTGACAGACTGCTGCTGTCTGCCTACATAGCAGGAGAGGGAACAGGACTAGACAACTCCAGAGAGAGGTCAAATTCCTACTAAAGTTGCATGGGTGATAACATGGAGGGAAAAAAAAATGTAAAAAAAAAAAAAGTTGGGAGACTTGCAAGTGCTTATTATCTTTTACTGCTGCACGATTTCAATTTAAAAAGTGAGGTCTGGTGAAAGCGTCTATTTAAATCTGCACTATTTATTAAAAAACACATGGTGATTTTGCCATGAAGGTCCCTGTTTAGACATTTTCATTGATAGGGTGACAA